CCACACTCCAGCCAGCCTAGGATCCGCATGGCACCTCAAAGAGGGACGCAGAAGGAAGCCACGAGTGTGTCCTGCCTCCAACAGCCACAGCCGCCACTCAGGGCACAGGAGGGGGATGACAGTGTCAGGGTAAAGTGGCTTCACTGAGCAAGGACGTCAGCCGAGTGCAGACCATGCTCTCACACCCACAGTGCCAGCGCACAGGAGGAAACCCGGGCTGGATTCTCTCTGGGGGTCTCCTCCAGGCCCCCACCCCACTGCCAGCCTAGTCCCACTGATGTGGAAGTGGGCACCCCACACACTGCCGGAGTGCAGGGAGGGGGCCTGGTGAGGTGTTGGGATCGTGACGGACAAAGCCATCGCGGCCGAAGGGCGGGGCACTTACCGAGCAGATGTGTTTTTTAAGAGCACAGGTGCGATGATGGAAGCTGACCCCTGGACCGACAGGCAGGAAACATTCAGACCCCGCGTTTCTTCATAGCCCCAAAACCAGCCTCTGGAAAACAGAGCCCAGCCCGCCTGTCAGCCCGTGTGCTCTCCCCAGGAACAGATAGGGGCGTGCACATGCAGGAACACAGTCTCGCTTGCCCGGGGGCTCACAGGCTAGCACTATCGACAACTATGAGAAAGCCGGGCAGTGATGGCACACGCCTTTAATCCCAGCACTCGGGAGGCAGAGGCAGGCGGATCTCTGTGAGTTCGAGACCTGCCTGGTCTACAAGAGCTAGTTCCAGGGCAACTTCCAAAGCCACACAGGGCAACACTATCTCAAAACAAACAAACAAACAAAAAACAAACAAACAGGAGGAGGAGGAAACCCACAGAACTCAACATTTCCCAGTCGTGGACAGAGATGGGCAGTGGAGGTGACAGAAGCCACCCCTCAGCCAGACAGTCATGCTCTCCAAATAACTCCCCTTCTAAGAGGACTCCAGCATGTCACACGTGGAGGGTGCTAAGTGACAGCCAGGACTTTGGGGCTAAGACCACCTTTCCCTTGCTAGGCTCGGTGAGGGGAGCTGGGCATGGTGCATGACAGTAAGATTGGTACTTCAGAGGCGAAGACAGGAAGATCTGGAGTCAAAGAGCACGCTGGGGAACACAGTGAGACCCGTCTTGAATACAGAAGAACCAGGGAGATAGAGTTCAAGAGGCTGAGGGTCTAATTAGTTTGCGCTGAACCCTAGGTACCACAAAAAGTACCATAAAAAAAAGCCCGGGTATCTGAGTGAGACGCTTTAAAGACTAACAGCATGAGGGGATTTACACGGAAATGTGCGAGAGCTCAGGGGCCGCCCCTCAGGGCCGTCTCTGGGAACCCCGTGGGCGTGCCCAGTGCTACCTGTGGTACTCGTGCTTGTCCTGTGAGTAGAGCAGAGGGTCGATGCAGGGCCGCTCGTCCACCTTCTCCTCCCAGGCGCCCTCCTTCCAGCCCTCAGCATAACCTTGCAGGACGTACACCTGGTCGATGAAGGGCCCGCCCGACTCTGAAAGAGACCCCAGAGAACGTGCCACACAGCAGGACCGCAGTCACGTGCGCAACTGTGCACCACACACGGGTGGCCTTCCCGATTTAGTTAAGGCCTCCTTAGACCACAGAGGCTTGGGAAAGCTTCCAGAGCAGACAGCGGAACCAATAGCCCGAGCATAGGGGCCGGAAGGCCAGAGGGGAACTCACTGAGGTCTCCTTGACCTCTCTCTGTCATCTGCTTCTCCCCACTGTCCCCTAGCACCCTGGGGCAGGCCTACCTTCACCCCTCCCCTGCTGCTGCTCGTGCTATTCCCCCAGCACATACTGACCCGACCCCTCAAGACCCCCAGCATGTCCCATCACCCCGTCTACTTCACCGGGAAGGTTTGTGTGTTCCCCCCCCCCGCCCACCGTTACCACCGTCACTTTGCCAGAACCACCTGCCATATCCAAAGTACCAATGAAAGTTAGTTTTAGAAGACGACCCCAGTTATGGCAAGTCTCAAAAAGTCAATTTCTGTGTCTTCAGATTCACCCTGCCTGAGGCCTCCATGTGGCTGACTGACCCAAGGCCCAAGCTAAAGCGGTTCCCCTCACATTGATCATGCGTGGCTTTATTCTGGTAGTCCCCCACCCATGGCACAATCACCGTCTTCCCTATGGGCCTCCCCAGACCTACTCCAGCTGGAGGGAGGGAGGTCCGGTGGCAAGGAGAATCAGCCCTATGCCTCCAGATGTCACACTACATGGCAGGGGTCCCACAGTGAGAAATCCACGGGCCATACCCCACAGAGAGGCATGAGCAGCTTCTCCAGGCACCTGAGACTGAGGCTCAAGCAAAAAGATCGGGCTATCTTAGCTGAGTCTGGCACCCTAGAAACTCAACCCCAGCTCTTACTTTGTGGGACCCACAAGCAAGTTTGGGAGCTGGGTTAGGAAAGGGTATATTCTAAACATGAATTTACTTTGTGTCTTCAGCCTGAATGAAAAAGAAAAAGTACTGCTTGTGTTCCCGTGTTCCCAGGACTGACATGTTTGATAGTGATTCCATGTGGGGAAGAGAACCACATCCTGGGAATGTATCCTCCTGAGGCAGCAGTTCTGAGCGACAGGCAGAGGCCATGGAAGAGTAAGGATCTGATGTACACCACTGGTACCAGCCAGGTTTTAAATGAGCCCCTCCTTCCCGGAACCTCCAGTGCAGCAGAAGAAAGGATTTGTCTTCCAACCAAAGCCACAGTCAACTCTACACACTTCTGTATCCAGGAAAGCCTGACGCCTCTCGAAAAGTAGAAGGAGGGGTATTAGGGGTAGTCAAGTGAGAGGTTTGTTCACAGATCCCTCACCAACCCTGGTGCAAGACACACACACACACACACACACACACACAAGCACGCACACACGTGCACGCACGCAAGCACACATACATGTGCAAACACCACAGCAAGGGGGGGCAGGAGGGGGGTGATGCGTTTCTGCTGCTTTCTCATCAGTGCTCTGACCACACCTGCCATGGCTGCTCAGACCTGCTTCCCTAGAGGAAACCCGGAATCAAGCGCTACAGCCGGGCTAAGTGGGAAGCACCAGTCAGGCTGGGCCAGGACACCCGCCGTCCATGTCAGAAAAGCCTCCCAGCCTGCTGCCCGCCTCACCTGCAATGAACTGCTCATACTCAATGACTGGGATGTTTTTATTGAGACTCGGGAGATCAAAGAACTCGGACCAGGGGATCCGGATCTGATGGATATCAGGGCTTTGCCAGTGGTACAGACGGCCCCATGGGGGCAGGACAAGCACCCACTCCTCAGTCTTCAGCAGTGTTTTCAGCAAGGATGCCACTCGGATATAGACATCCCTGCGGAGATTGAAGCCTTCTGGGGGGTTGACATCATATAGAAGGTACCTGAGCAGGGGGCAAGACACAGACCTTGAGTTGTGAGGACACAGCACCCATTTCCAGCTTGCAGAGAGGGTAGTTACTACGTGACAATGACCTGCAGAGCTCACGGGTGCCAACAGCAGACAAGCACTGCCTGGCGATTTGGAATACCAGTGGAACCTCGGAGGATCTGTGCGGTAGCCATTTCCATGCTGCCTAGCCCAAAGACCCCTCCATACTCTCTGAACAATTACTGAAACCCCCAACGGGCTGTTGTTTATTCAGGGATGTCAGACCTTTTTTTTTTTGGTTTATCGAGACAGGGTTTCTCTGTATTGTTTTGGAGGCTATCGGTCCAGCCCAGCCTCGAACTCACAGAGATCCGCCTGCCTCTGCCTCCCGAGTGCTGGGATTAAAGGCGTGCGCCACCACCGCCCGGAGGGATGTCAGACCTTTGACAGTGTTATCATCAGTAAATATGGTGGGCTTCATCCATAGCAATCCTGAGATGTGTGTGGCCAATGGGCAAAGGTTGGACACGTCTAGTTTAGGAACTGAATCTATTGACAGTTTCTGTGTGGAAGCTAACGCTAGAATTACTCATCCATTCACTTAAAAATAACAACAACCTCATATTAACAAAGATTATTTTAAAAGAAAAAAGCGAGCATCTTCAAAATAAAAAGAGTGGCGAGGATAGGAAGCAATGCTTTTCATTTTGGAAAATCTATTTGGGGTCTGGTCGTACCTGGGTTCTCAGGTCTGTTTTTTGCATTAATCCCACTGGTTGGTTGGCCGGTGGAAAAACTCTACAGTACACTAATGATACTTGAGAACGTCAAACAGTGATGGAGGTTCTAAAACTTTAGGCCCTCGCCAAAGCAAAATTCAATCCGGGACGCACACCGTCACTGGCTTTGCTTGCACCAAATTCCTGGTTTGCTCTCCAGTTTGGGGACTATCGGCCGCGGACGAAGCCCACAGAAACTTCTGTCCTACCGCTGGGGTCAAAATGGGCCTCGGGACAGGACGCCTGAGCGGGGCAGCTAACGTAGCCAGAGCCGGACTCCACCTACGCTCCTGGACCTTCTGGTAGAAACCTCTCGGAGTAGTCGGCCAGCTCAGACCCTTACCAAGGCCAGGACGACCTTCGCCGAACAAGCTTCGCCCATGAAGTCTGCGTGCGCAGCCCCGGCCCCGCCGCCCCGCCCCACTGCTGACCCTGTCCCGGATGCCCGGCCCGGGATGGCGCGGACACGCTTACCGTCTGCGGGACGCCACCCCCGACAGGATGTCCGCCGCCGACTGGCCAGGCCAGAACTCCTCTCCTGAAGCCGAGGCCGGCCGCCAGAATGCCGCTGCCAGCAGCAGGCAGACGACGCTGAGCGCCGCCATGGCCCCGGCGGCCACGCACTTCCGGCTACCGTGCTCCCTACCCCCACCCCGTCCTTCAGCTCCGGAAGCTCGCCGGTCTGTCCGGCGGAGCGCGTCTCCAGTATCTACGGCAACGCGGCGAGGCCCACCACGCGCACGCGCCTCGCGTCGTCCCGGGGTGGGTGGGGATGTGGGCGTGGCGGGGAGGGTGTGGCCTCGGGAGGGGCGGGGCTCGAGCGCTGTGCGGCTTCCCGCGCAGACCCTAGGTTCCGCCTTTGGATGCTGTCTTCTCGCTCTTGCTGAGCTGCACTGCGGCGACCGGGCCGGGCTGAGTCGCAGGGTCAGCATCACGCGGGGCGCAGGATGACCCAAGAGCGGGGAGAGCTCGCTTGGGTCTCACCAGGCATTGCATTCCGATCGCCGGGTGTAGTACCGTCCGGTTGTACGGGGTGTGGGCGGAGCTGGCTGTAGGCCAGTAGGTGAGCGACCTTCCGAGGCAAGCAGGAGGAACGAGCACTGGCCTCCTGGAGAGGGGACGGTCGGCACCCCCGAGAGCGCTCTCCGTTCCGCATAGGGCTCTAGCTCTGGGCGCGCGGAGTAGCTTTGGAGTCGGAAGACCGGGAATGATGGTTGTGGTGAGGTGACAGCTCTGAGCTTTCCTGGAAATGCCTGACTCTGTGGCTTTGCTGTGTAAGCTGCATCCCCGTGGAAGTATCGCGAACCAAGTGTGATTAAGTTGAGCTGCATCAAAAAGTAAAACCTAGCCCTTGAAAGGCAGAGGTAGGAAAATGAAAAGACAGAGACTGGGAAAAAAAACATTTAGAATATAATAATTACCTAACAGAGGACTTGTGTCCAGTCGTAGAAAGATCTTTAAAGTTCGGTAGTACCTCAAGAAGATATAAATGACCCGATGCGGGGGTTGGGCAAGAGAAGAAAAAAGAAACAGGACACACACGATGGTCATGGGGAAGGCTGGTTCATATACATAAGTCTTGGAGAAGTGGCCATTAAAAAGGGGTGACAACATGATGAGCTTGTGATACCCCTCAGTGAAGTTGTGGGACAATGGTAGGAGTGGAATGTGGCATATCACTCTGAAATCAGCATGACAGTTTCTGTTCCATCCTGGCTGACCCTGGTTGAACTTGTCCCAAGAGCTGTAGTGTGGGAGGTCCAGTGGGGCTGGGGCGATTCCCCGGATCATTCCAAAAGGAAGCGCCAAGTGGCTACCTGTGTTGAGCATCCAATGGGGTCATCCCTTCAGAAATCTGCAGCAGCTCCCAAGGCAGAGAGGGTGGAGTGTAGGATGGTCTTCCTGGTGTTTCCTGGAGTTAGGGGCGGGGCTGTGGACCTGGGAAGGATTAGGAGGTGTGGCCTTATTGAAGAAGGTGTGTCATTGGGGGCGGGCTTTGAGGTTTCAAAAGCCCTTGGCATTCAAATTGGCTGTGTCTCTGCTTCCCTTTTTGTGGATGAGATGTGAGCTCTCCACTACTGCTCCTGAACCACCATGCGTTCCTGCCTGCTGCCCTCCTCCCTGCCGCGACAGTCATGGAATCACACACGGTGAAACCAGCAGTCCCAAACACACTCATTCTTTTATAACTTTCCTCCTTCACGGTGTCTTATCACAGCCAAAGGAAAGTAACTATTTGTGCTTTTTGGTTGTGAGCCTAGCCTTTAATGTCTGAGCCATCTTCTCTAGCCCATTTCGATACTATTTAAATGTATTTCTAGTAGGACTTGGTGTGAGGAAGTTAAGAGGACCAATCTGGCCTGAATTGAATTTGAATGTGTGGACTTTGTTTTGCTTTAAATACTTTCCTTGCTGTTTTTGTAAACTGAGAGGGGCTTTTATTTCTCTTCCTAGACTAAGAGGCCAAGAACTTGAAGGCTCTGCCGAGGAGCAGCTGCTTCTGGGGACAGATACTACCCTGAGGATCTGAATTGGGGTTGTGGGACACACTCTCCTGCTGCCTGGCACTGGCATGTTAGGAATGACCCACATGGGAGTCAGTCTTTCCTAAGAGCCACAAAAGTGCCTCCAAACCAAGACTCAAGCCTGGCTGACCACGGTAGGTAAGCAGGGCAGAGTGACAATGGCCCTGCCTCTAATACTCGGGGATCCTGGCTCTCTGGGTCCACCAAGGACCCATTCCCATTCACAGTGGAGTCCTCCATTCTTACAACAGGTGCCTCTTGAGACCCCTTGTGAAAAATAGCCTTGTGCCTGCAGCCTGGATGCCCTGACCCCCACATCACCACCACCAAAGCCAGAGTCCACTCCAAAGTCCCGTGATTCTGGGGCAGCCGGTCTGGCCCTGCCTTCCCCATTCGGGGGGCTCCATGTTCCTGTGCCTGTTTCTACCCAGAACAGAGGAGGCGTGCAGAGGCTCTCCATGTTGGTGTATGCCTCTGTTTCCCCTCTTTCTTTATGCTCCCAGCCTCCTTTGCCTCAGGGAGTTGGTTTTTGTGCCCTGTGGATTATTATGCCCTTAAGAAATTTGAGTTATCATTAAGACAGAAAGTCCAGGTGTTGCAGGGGAGACTGAGGCTGCCTTTCAAGTTCTTAGTCTCGTGGATACAAGTTTTACAAAGGATCTGGAAGAAGCCTGAGAACGATTTTTATTGGGGTTTGAGAGAAAAATAACAGGGTAGGTAAGCTTAAAATCTCTGCGGCTGCCCAGAGGAGGGAGAGGAGAAGAGGAAGAGAAATCTGTGTCTTCTCCTGTGGAGGTTGGCAGAGAAGCTGCGTGCTGGGGATGTGGTTGGGGCTACAGAAGGGGGGTGGAGGGTAGGGTGGGGGCAGGGTCTTGTGGAGAACATGCTTAGACTTCTGACGGGAATTGAAAAAGAGGCTTAGTCCTGAGCCATGAATCTGAATTTGGAGGTCATCCCATTCCAAGCTGTTGTGTCCCAAGGCAAAGGACTACATTAGGGACTCGTGGTTAGAGACAGGAAAAAGCACTCCCGATACTGGGAGCAGGCCAGTGAGCTGAGGAAGGACTCAGAAAGCCCTGGGTCATAAGGCCTGTGCTGGCTGGCAGAGCATTTTATTATTTAGTGGTTGATGGGGGAGGGCCAGGCCCATTGTGGGTGGGGCTATCCCCACACCCATTCTTATTTCTATAAGAAAGCAGGCTAAGCAAGCCAGTGAGCAGCACCCTCCATGGCCTCTGCATCAGCTCCTGCATCCAGGTTCCTGTCCTGTTTGAGTTCCCGTCCTGACTTCCTTCAGTGATGAACAGTGATAGGGAAGTATAAACCAAACAAACCTTTCCTCCCCAAGTTACTTTTGGTCACGGCGTTTCATCAGCGCAATAGTAATCCCAAGACAAGGCGATGACCCTTTATGGGACACTTACATAGGCCCCTCCCTGTCAATCCGCCAGTCCCATTTGTATCTCTCCCTTTCCTGTGTTTCTTTTTCTCACACATGCTCAGTGCCTTAGGTGAAGGCTGGGTGAGGAAGGGTATCCCCTTCCACCTGCAGACTAGCTGTTTTCATATGGGAACCTTAGTGGTTTAGTATCTAGTCCTTACCCCCATTGTGGGGGGACTAGAGATATTCTCAACCGAACACCCTTGAGGTCTGGGTTCCACCCCAGGGCTGCATGAGACAGGGTGTGGTAGAGCATGTGGAGCAAGCGCTTTGGAGATTGAGGCAGGAGGATAAGAAGTTCAGGGTCACCCTTGGCTGTATAATGAGTTACAGGCCAGCCTGGGACGGAGGAAGAGCTGGAAGCAGCTTCCCTTTATGCCTGTGTGCTGGCCGTGGTAACTTCAGGATGCCTGGAGAGCAGGGAGCTCACTGCAATATTGCTGTGACTCAGCGATGCGACCACAAGAGGGCAGAAGAGGCCTTCTCGGGAAGCTTCCGCGGCTATCCAGGGAGCGTTGGGAAACACTTGTGGGCCTCACCGGCACAGAGGAAAGAGTGGGTGGTCAGACCAGGGCTGAGTCCAGAGCTGGATAAAAGGGGTCCAGGCCACCCAGGCCTAGAGGACCCCAAAAACAGGCCTTGGTCCTCCATGCAGCTGGCACCTGTAAGGACAGGACTAAGAGCTTCACCACAGAGGGAGGGATGCCCTGCTTGGCCCTCAGCCTAGCCAAGTACATCTTGTAGGTCACAGGGCCACACTTAGAAATGCCCAAAGTTTCACATGCCCTCTGGGACTCCAGGCCTCATCTGTCTTCCGCAGACGTCAGAAGTGTCAGTAGGAGCACCCCATTCTCCCCACTCCAGGGAACAGAACCCTGAGGTGGGGAACACATAGAAACAGGTCCTAGCCCTGCTGCCCCCAGCAGCAACAAGGTCCTCTTTTGGAACATACTGACCCCTGTGGAAGCTGGGGCTCTACAGTGCGGGGTGGGGGGGTGACTCCAGTCAGGGAACAAATGGGGAGAGACACAGAAAGAGGCCGGCCGCCTGCTGGGCTTGGGAACAGCCATGCAGTCATGTTACCATGTTGAAGCCATGTGCCCAGACACCTGAGAGGAACTCTATGAGTGGGCTGAAAGGTATGCAGTAGGAGCCAAATTGGTAGCTGCCCGGGGCCAACCACAAGAAGTTAAGGGCAAAGGGGAAGGAAGGCATCTTAGGGACTTATTGTGACACTTTTAGAGACCACGGCACCGTTATGAAGCAGGCCAAGGGTTGAACTGCTGCCCCTGGAAGACAGGGAAGCTCTTCTCCCAGCCTCTAGGGGAGCCCGTGGGAGCAATGACTGGCTGCAGACCAGGAGTCCAGATGCAGGGGGCTGGCGTCTGGGGGCATAGACACGATAGACACGCACGTACCAGCCCTGCTTCTCTGTTTATCGAGTCAGTTACAAGGATCCACAGATTGATGTTTGGGGCCTTCGTGTGGAATCCCACCCCCTCACTCGTAACTCCAGGGTAATAAAATCCTGGCTTTGTCCCTGGAAATGTGCTGGGAGGTGACTGCTTAATGAGTCACTGGCAGGGCAGGGAGTTCCGGTTTTTGTATCTATGGCTACAGGCCATGCTCAGAAGGATTTCTCAAAGGAGCTTAGGACTGCATGCCAAGGGAGCCCTCAGAGATGGCCCAGTGTGCTCTGCAGTGAGGAGGGGCCCATGGAACCCGGCCATCGGATGCCCCAGGTGTGACCACACGTGAGGTTCCCTGGGGGGGGGGGTCAAGGTACAGCAAGGAATTTGGCTCTTGTGCTACAGGGTAGCAACATGCCGAATTCCTCTCTTATTAACAGTTAAGTCCATGGACCCAGGGCTACCCCTGAACTTGGGGCTCCCCCCGTATCCTGAGGGCCTCTGCCTCAGCACAGCCGGAGCAAGCTGTGAGACAGTGTTCCCCACAGAGGAAATCTAGCCCTCCCGTGGGTACTATCCAGGAGCTAGAGTGTGGAGAACATTCTCCTTGCTCAGGCTGTGAGGACCCACCCCACAGGCCTATCTGGGATCCAAACATTGGCAAATGTCACCAAGTGCGTAAGTCATTTTATTTAAACAGGCAGCTTGCTGTGTTTGGAGGACTGGACTCAAGACCTGTCTTCACCCCCTCGATGGCAATGTGGGGAGATGCAGACTGGCAGGGTGACTTCCTCAGAATGAGGCATAGCAGAGTTTTTCTGGTTCATAAGGAGCCTCTAGCTCCACGGTAGAATCACGGTTTTGTGCAACCCGGGCCTCCATAGCTGGAGGCTGCAGGCCTAGCAGAGACTGCAGAGCCTGGAGCAAGATGCCAAGTTCCTCTCTCTGAGCGATCTAGGAATGGGGGATGGGGGTGGGCTGTAGAGGTAGCACAGGGGAACACAAACACAGGAAGACGTTCGTGTCCCAGTGTCCCCAGAGTTCCAGAGCCAACACAAGCTGTAGACAACTCAGAATTCATGCCTGCCTTGGGGACTCAGCGTTGGTCCAGCGTGTCACTAGGATCTCAGCATCATCTAAGCAAGAACTTCCCAACCTCACAGAGCTGAGCATGAAACAGACTGTGGATGGAGAGATGGGGTATTTGTCTGTGTTCTGTGGGCAGACGCTGTGGAGCCCTCGGTAGAAGCCACGGGACTGACAGCAGGCACTGACGGTGGCAGGGTGGAGCTCCAGGGACTCATGTCCAGAGCGAGCTGTCCACCTGGGTTTGAAACCTTAATCCTGTCTGTAGCCTCCCCCATGGCAGGGCTTGGCTCAGAGACCACTCCGTGCCACATGGACCTGACTTGATGTTGTCTGCTGATGCTGGACCAGTGTAAGCCTAAGCCGATGTGGTCCCTCAAACATGGCCAGCTTCCAGCCTTGGCAGCAGCTTTGTCTTACCCAGAATGCAGACTTGTGCGCGTGGTGTGTGTGTGTGTATATGTATGTGTGTGTGTTAGAGATTCCCATGTCCTTCATTTACTCTTAGAGCTGTGCGAGGCCGGTTCTATGTTCTCTTTCAAGTACAGCCAGCGTCACAACATTTATTAGAAAACTTGTTTTTTTTTTTATTGTTGTTTGCTTTCTTTGAGGTAGTGTCTCCTGTATCCCAAGCTGGTCTCCAACTCCTTATGTAGCTGAGCATGACCTTGAATTTCTCATCCTCCGGCCTCTACCTCTGGTGGGCTGGGATTACAGGGGCGTGCCACCACACCCAGTTTATGCGATATTGGACGAACCTAGGGCCTTGTGCATGCTAGGCAGATGCTCTACCAACTGAGCCATACCCCCCAGTACTGTTGACATAACAGCGAAGAAAGAATTGAACAACTGGGGCTGGAGCGATGGCTCAGAGGTTAAGAGCACTGGCTGCTCTTCCAGAGGTCCCCAGTTCAGTTCCCAGCACCCACATGGTGGCTCACAACCATCTGTAATGAGATCTGGTGCCCTCTTCTGGTCTCCAGGCATCCACACAGACCCAATACTATATACACAATAAGTAAATTAATTAATTAAAAAAAGAATTGAACAGCTGGAAAAGACAAGAGAAAGGCAGCGTAACCGTTTCATACATTAGGGATGGGAGACGCCTAAGGCTGGATGTCCGCTAAGCAGATCCTGGCTTGGGTATTTTATAGGACCCCTGGGTTCTCCCCTTTCTCCTGTTGGTCCTGTTTAGATACCCACCCCCATGCCTTCCTGATGCCTTTCCTCCAAATGTGTTCTGGGAACAAGCAGCAGCCATCTCCGGAAACCTACCTCCACTTTCCTAGTCTACCCGAGTCCCTCTAAATCCACCTTACAGCGCGAGCACGTGCCATCCTCAGCTCACGGTGGGGTCCCCTGTGCCCTTGGCTCTGTGTCTGGTCTCAGTGTTCACCCACAGGCCTCTGTGGCCTCCTGCATGGTGACACAGGACAGGAGCTGCATGGCAAGTCCCTTCTGCCCTTTCAGCCTTCTCTGAAAATCTCCCACCTTTCCCCTCCCTTCTAGAATCAGCTATGGAGTCTCAAACCTGTTCTCCCGGGAGTTGTTGACCCTTGGGGACGACTGGGATGTTGTCTTTGAGTGTTCAGAAGTGACTCCATGTTGCCCCTCACTTAGGTCTTTGGTTCTGTCTTTCATGCCGGATCTGCCCACGTCACGGTCACGTTGTCTCCATAGCAGAGATTATTCCTGAGTTAGGTGCCTTGCGTGTAAAATCTCCCAACCTGGCAACCTAAGGGTAAAGCTCTGATGATTTTCTCCGTCCCCCTTGATGTTAGACAGCTTTCCTGTTTCTGTTTTGTTGTTAATTTCTCTACTCAACTTTCCCTGAAAGGTGAAACTACAAACAAGTGCGATCTTCCCCTGAGCGCTAGACTGAGCAGCGGCTCTGGTGCCTGGTGTTCTAGAGGGTGCCGTTCCTCCAGGCCTGAGCTGGTGATGCACAGGGACCTCTGCAAAGCAGGCCTCCGCAGTGAACACTAGACGGGCCCAACATCCCCCTGAGACTCATGGGAAGGGAGCAGCCTTTGCTTCCACTGATGGATAGCCAGAGTGCCGTTAGGGCTCAGCCTGAATGGATGATGCCAACTCTTCCAGGGATCATAGCAGAGCTGAGGCTAACACTGGGCTTTGGCCATCCTCATGGGTCCCCCATCCATAACTAGGATATTAGGCAGGGTTCTTGAGAGGAACTTAGTGGATAAAACATACAGACCCAGACATACACACACACACACACACACCATGCACAGTTCTACATTCTCTGTGTGTGTGTGTGTGTGTGTGTGTATGTGTGTGTGTTTGTGTACGTACCTCTGGCCTTCACACATGCATATACATACACCTGCACACATGTATAAGACTGCATACACCACCCACCTTATACACAATAAAATTAATTTTAAAATAAAATGTAAAGTTACATGTTTAAGGGTTTTTTTTTGTGTGTATGTGTGTGTGTTTCTGGCCTCAAAGGGACCTTAGCACAAGATTGTCTCATATGGGCAATATTTCCTAAGGGTTTAGAAGCAAAACTCCAAGGCAAGAACACAGAATACAAGTTCACAACATGATGAGATATAGGTTAAATGCAGAACACTGAAATACCAAGATCACAGCAGGGTGTCAAGGAACCAGGCAGAGCTGACACTACTGTAGGGTGGCCATGTCTGTGCCTTAAGGGCAAGAGAACGTACTGAGATAAGGGCTCGGTCTAGAATGTTCTAAAGCTGAAAGGCAAACAGCCAGAGAAGGGAGAGAAATGAAGTCTGGGGCCTCTAATGCTGTTTCCCCTACCCCACCTCTTTCTCCATTTCCCAATCCTTCCTTCCCTCCCTCCCTCCCTCCCTCCCTCCCTCCCTCCCTTCCTCCCTCCCTCCCTCCCTCCCTCCTTCCCTCCCTCCCTTCCTCCCTCCCTCCCTCCCTCCCTCCCTCAGTATGTGGGCATGCACTGCTCAGGAAGGTAGCTTCATGAGAAGCTGTCAGAACATACATCCAGGGACAGCAGATGAGCTGCCTGGAGGGCAGGAGGCAGAGTGTGCTAGCCTGGGCCACCACTTAGTTTGAAGGTACACAGAGGTCTGAAATAACCAAGCCTTGTTAGCCCAAACTGGGGCTGGAATCCAGACTTTGACACCTTGTAGGGGAGAGGTCTGTGCCCAGGTGCCCAGAAGGATCTGTTGGGAGTTTGGGCCATAGAGCAGTGTGGTCCCCGGCCCCTCCCTCTGCACTGCAGCACCAGGTCTGGGAGAGATTTCCCACAGCTGGGGTTCCGGGATGCGCAAGCAGTTCCCAGGGATGGAATGTCAATTCATCATCTAACTGGCGGGCTCCGCAGACTGCAGCTTTCTATCTTGGACTTCGAGAAGCCCAGGGCAGGAGACAGGCTCCCAGCTTAGCAAACACAGGGCAGGTGGCCGGGGCTGGCCCGTGCCTGGAGCTGCGTCACCCCCACTGCCCTCCCGCTCCCAGTATCTCTCCCCACCTGGTGCCCTGGGGTCAGGACAGCTGCCCAGCAGCCCATCAGTTATAACCAGATCCTGCCCTGCCTCATCTGGACACCCGTGGGCTGGCTCTGGGAACAGAGAGTCACCCGCTACACACCTGCCCCCCTTGAACTCCACCCTTCTGCCTTCGCTCTTCTCCGAGCCTCCCGTGCTCCCCTGATCCTTCTCTGCCAGCAGAGGCAGTCCCTTAAGTCACCCCTCCCTCAGAAGAAACAGCAGCTCTTTACAGAAAACTGTCACCTCATCAGCCCTGGGGACAGTCCCTAGATGCTGGCCCAAGAGTAAGGTACCCCCCCCCCCAGGGAAAGCAGCTACAGCTCTAATCGGAGGAAGTGGACGAGTAGAGGTTTGCTCTTAAGGCCCATGGCTCTTCTCTCGGTTCTTAAGTCTGGAACATTCCCCAGATGTCTCTCATCCTGGGGCCTGGCCAGAGGTGGATCAGCTGCTGTCTGCTCAGCACCTGGCACTGGTTCAGCCTCCAGCACCCTGCCTCGTGTGGTAGAGGAGGGGTCCCAGCCTGCTGTGCATCGCAAGGGACAGGCAGCGGGAAAAGCATGGGGCAGAGGGGTTGTAGTTGTGATCCCCGGGCAGGTGTCATTTGGGCTCCTTGTAGTTGTATTCAACAGTTCCGTCTCTACAGTACTTTTCGTTTCTTCCCACTTCAGGAAGACGGTCCCACGCCCCCCCACCCTGGAAGCTTGTGCTCAGGGCCTTTGGAGGTCCAGACCTGGGTCAACCTGGTTTTCACTACTCCTGGGGTCTCTAAGCTCCTGGGAAAGTCCGCGGTTGTTCAGCTTCAGGGACGTGGAAGCGGCTAGAGCCTACAGCAGGGGAGGCTGAGGGAGGCAGGCTCTCTGTGAGTAAGGGTGTCCAAGCAGTTGCAGGCGTGTGCGAGGTGGCCACCACACCTGCTACACTCACGGGGCCGGAGACAGCTCTGACGGCCGCCGCCCCGTGATGTGTTCGCACACAGGATCAGCTGCAGGATTCTCGTGGTGGCTCAAGCGGCTCAAGCGTGGTGTCTCAACAGTGTCCAGGTGAGGCCAACTTGGCAGGTTTGCAGGCCCGAAGAGCTGTGTAGACGCAGCAGTTTCCACGTGGAGATCATGACGTCCTGGGGCCCAGGGAAGGGCCCTCCATAAGTCCCACTGGGACAATGCTGGGGGGGGCAGACCTGATCCACTCAGGGGTGACAGATCTTCAGTTCCATCAGTGTGCAAGGCCAGCCTGGGAATGCCTCGGACACAAGACACCAATCTGCGAGAGCTGCCACAGACTACCACAGTCAGTCACAGGAGCCCAGCCGGATTGCAGAACAAAAAGTCTTCAGTATTTGTCAGCCTTCAGACCCTGTGGAATTGGACCCACTGGGTTCTGATATGATGGACTGAGACAGAAATAACCCTTTCTTCCCTTAAGGCGTGCCTTAGCCTGTAATTTGTCACAAGGAAAAAGGCAGCTAACATACCTGCTCACATGTCAGACACAAACATCTCAGGGTCCTGGGCTTCACCCTGGATACAGCATCCCTGCAGGTCACACGTGTTTTTTTTTTTTCAATTTCTGGTAGCCTCGCCCACTGGACTACCTTCCTGAGTATGGGAAGAAGGAGGGGCTTTCTCCAAAACCAAGACAAGGTCTCTCACGGAGAGGGGACACCCTGGGAAGAAGGGGTGAGGGACAGTATTGGTTGGGTGACAGCAGGCTGAAGGGCCCTCCTGCTTTGCAGGGCACCTTCAGGGAAAGGCTTTTATGGACTCTGTGGAACCCACGCCGCCATCCGCAGAGGCCACGAAGGCTCAGGGCGCTGCTGCTTGGTAGTTGGTTTTGCTTCTCTCCAGCCCAGGCCCGGGGCTCAGCTCAGCCAGCCCTGGCTTCTGTGACCCACTTCTGATTGCTCCAGTGGCTCTGAGCAGTCACTGCGAATTATTCTATCTGTGAATGTGTTGGCCTGAAAAGTGTTCTATTAGGAGAGTGGCCTCCCCTGCCCCCAATAGTCCAAGACAAAGCTCAGGGCATTGGCAGGATATGCCTTGGGCATTGAGGGAGCAAGTGGGAAAGCCCTGTCCCTGGGGGCAGCCGGGCAGCCGGACAACTCATCCGTGTTCCTTGGGCTGCAGCTACAGATGCCCATGTGTACAAAGGGCCATTGTGCTCGCCCATCACGTGCCCTTGAGCCTGGTCTTGGCTGCTCGTGGACATGAGGAAATGTGGGAACCGTGTCCCTCAGGCTGCATTTGACATTTGACATTCACTGCAAGGGAAGCGTCTGGACTGGAGGGGCCTCACCAGACCAGCCAGAGTTGGGTTTTGGAACAGGCAGCCCTCACATGCCAGTAGCCTAGGACTGGTCCTTGTGCCAGAACACAGAACTTTGGCCTTCACTGACTTCCACCGGGGATATTCGGGGCTGGTCTCAGAAGGTTGGTGGGTGTAGGAGACAAAAGAAACATGGGCAGAGTTCATAAGTGTGTACATGGGCGTGCACATGCACGCACGTGCCCCCCCAGACATGTACATGTAAATGAAAATGCACCAGCACACATACTTCAGGAACACACAAGGCATGCACAAAACTCCAGGCACACGTGAGCACACACAAACACTTTAGAAACATACAGACGGGTTGGGTACAGAATTTGGGGGTTGCAAACCCGTCTCCGAGAACATTTGCATATATGGACAGCCAGGCCCCGAGAGCTGCCGTATCAGGGAAGATATTGACTTGGCATGGATGTGACTTGGGGAGCTGCCTGCCCTTTGGCCAGCTCAGCTCTCTCTTCCTAAGGAGATGTCTGTAATGGTTCAGAGGCCCACTAAGAAGGCAGTCCCATGGCTGCCCCCAGCAGGACGAGAACAGCCAAGCGGGGGCTGTGCATGGTTCCTCAGCATCACGGACACCGTGGCTCTGGGAGTGCGTTGTTGGAACTGTACTCCAAAACCACAATTACGCATCTGAGAGCTGGGTCCGGTGTGTTTACAGTGTGCTGAGGCAATGGAAACAGCCCACTGTAAACACTGCGGGGTTGCGAAATCACGCTTCTGAGTGTCTGCAACATGAAGTGGGCCTGTGTTCTCGGGGGCAGCATCAGCAGACCAGCAGCACAAGCTCTCGGAAGGCAGAGCATAAGACACCTGCTGGCCCACGGCTCGTGTGGTTGGGAGGTTTGAAGGAATCTATGCTCACAGTGAGCAATGGGTGGCTGATCTCTGTTCCCCTCTCTCTGATGTCTGTGGGCGTTGGCTCTAGCCAAGGTTCCTCATAGACCTCAGCAGCCCTCTCCAGCTCTGTCTCCAGCTCTCTCTCTCTCTCTCTATCTCTCTCTCTGTCTCTCTGTCTCTGTCTCTCTGTGTCTGTCTCTGTCTCTGTGTCTGTCTCTGTCTCTCTCTCTCTCTCTCTCTCTCTCTCTCTCTCTCTCTCTCTCTCTCCCCATGCCTGTGAGGAGAGGAGAGTGCCTCCGTGCTCAGCTGTGTGGCTGAAAGGCACGGTCTCTTCAAATCTATGTGCATTCGCAAAGATCCACTATGGGACCGACCCCCGCCTTACAGAGGGTCTTTGCAGAGGTGGTCAGTGAGGCTGTGTGGGGATCGTTGGTATTGCCCAGGCAGTACCTACATGACACCACTGTAAAGGAGACAGAAAGAAATCAGATCAAGAGGTCATGTGACCCGGGCGGTGGTGGCGCACGCCTTTAATCCCAGCACTCAGGAGGCAGAGGCAGAGGCAGGCAGATCTCTGTGAGTTTGAGGCCAGCCTGGTCTAAAGAGCAAGCTCCAGGACAGCCTCCAAAACAATACAGAGAAACCCTGTCTTGAAAAAAAAAAAAAAACACCAAAAAACAAAGAAGTCATGTGACCTCAAAGGCCAGCTTAAAGTGGTATGACCCCAATACTGGACCCCATGACCTCCTG